CCTTGTGCAGAAAAAAGAAAAGAAACGGTTGTTGAGCTTTTTTTTTTTTTTTTGGGTTTGTTTTAGTTTTTGAGGACATGTTTAGGTTTTGGAAAATATATGTTAACCAAATGAATATTTTTCTTCTTCTTTTTTTTTTCTTTACATTTATTAAGCTTTAATAGCATTGTAGAACCAGTCATTTATTTTTATTTTTTGCACCATACTTTTTCTCTTTTTTCTTTATATTTATACAGCTTTGATAGTACGATATTTCAGTGTTCATCATGAGAATATATGTTTGATTAGGTTTATTTTTTAAAGGGCTGAAATAGTGTTTTTGTTGTGTTTATTAGGCAAGTAAAGCTTGTTTATTTGTTGACATTCTGCTGTCAAGTGTAGTGTTTTCACATGAAACCGTCCTATAAGGTGTATAGTTAGTTCTGAGATGTAAGGAAGCCTTGGAAAGCTATGCGAGGTGTGGAGATTATAAAAAATATATCAATAGATAGATAAATCTCTTTGTGATAGCGAAAGACTGGGTATATGGTCTTACATGATTGATTTATTCATTATCTTTTTAAAATTTGTTTTGTATAACTACTGTGTATATAGAAGCTTTTGTTCCTTTCCATTTTTTTGGTTTGTTACTTATTTGTGTATTTATTTATTTATTAGTACTGTTCACATTCTAAAAGATTTGAAGGTTTATAACATTAATGTTTGTGTACATATTGCCTATTAGTGTGAAGCAAGAGCAATTTACATAAATTTGAGCTATATCAACACTAATTTAATGCTCTTAACATGTTTAAAGTCTTCTGCCTGGCCATTGGTGATAATGTTTATGGTTGCAGTTACTGAACATTTTAGTGAGAGGTCTTGTTTTTTATATATATATAACAGGTAATCACTTTAGACACTGATAATTGAACCTTCCCAGCACAGCGACCTCAGTGTACACTTGTGTAATATTAGATATATTTAGCTCTACAGGAATGATTGTATGTGTTACAGTTCGAAGTCATCTCTCTCTCTCTCTCTCTCTCTCTCTCTCTCTCTCTCTCTCTCTCTCTCTCTCTCTCTCTCTCTCTCTCTCTCTCTCTCTCTCTCTCTCTCTCTCTCTCTCTCTCTCTCTCTCTCTCTCTTCTCTCCCTCTCTCTCTCTCCTTCTCTCCCTCTCTCTCTCCTTCTCTCCCTCTCTCTCTCCTTCTCCCCTCTCTCTCTCTCCTTCTCTCCCTCTCTCTCCTTCTCTCCCTCTCTCTCTCCTTCTCTCCCTCTCTCTCTCCTTCTCTCCCTCTCTCTCCTTCTCTCTCTCTCTATCTCTCCTTCTCTCCCTCTATCTCTCCATCACTCCCTCCCTCGCTCCCTCTCCCTCTCTCCCTCTCTCCCTCTCCCTCCTCCCCCTTCTCTCTCTCTCTCTCTCTCCTCTCTGACTTTCTCTTTCACCCTTAGGATAGATGACTAAGCAAGGAAATAACAGGTTTTGAAAATCAGCCAACATTTAAGATAGGTGCAAGCTATCTGTGATGATTATTTCCTGGATTCATAGTACATGTGGATTAGCATTTGTTGGCACCATTTTTTTTTTTTTTTTTCTTTCTTTTTCTTTTTTGCATGCATGAAGAATAACACTGCAAAGGCAAAACTGCTTCCAGAATCTCATATATACCCAAGCCTAAAGGTTTAATGTCTTGTCACCTCCTTTTTTTTTTATTTAATCATTTAATCACTTCTGCATACAAATTGTCACAATGCTTTACCATAATGAGAAATGATGCTGTAGATGGGTACATGTGAACTAACTTGAGGCAGTGTTACAGTGGCGATTTTTGTAAGGGATTGGTTCATTTGTTATTGCTCTTTTTTTCTCTCTTCTTCTATAATTTTATCATTGTAATTACTATTTTCATCATCATAATTGTCATCAATACTATTATTATTATTATTATTATTATTATTATTATTATTATTATTATTAATATATTGCTGTCATCATTATTATTATTATTATTATTATTATTATTATTATTATTACTTCTATCATCAACATCATCATCATCATCAGTATCATTATTATTATCATTTTTATCATCATCATCACTATTATTACCTTTACTTTTTTATTGTTTTTATTGTTACCACTATGATTATGGATAGTTATTATTATTATTATTTTTTTTTTTTCTTGAAATATTGTTGTATTATTATAAATATCGCTAATAATATGATGATAATGGAAAAAAAATAATGGTTACAGTAAAGATAATGATGATGATGATGATAAAAATAATATGATGATGCTGATGATGTTAGTTATAACAATAACAATAATGTTATAATATCATTGATAATATTAATACTATAATAATGATTACAACAATGACAAAGATAATGGTGTTAGATATAACAGTTGAAATAATGATGATGATGATGATAATAACTATTATTACTTTTATCATCATTGTTATTATGATGATTATTACCATTAATAATTATTATTAATATTATCATAATCATTA